AAGAAAGAAAGAAAAATCATTTCTGGGTGCAGTAGCTTCTGAGGACCTTCCTGAGTATTTCTCTGAAGGATCTGCTGATTCCAGGCAAAAGGGCTCTGCATTGAGAAGTCATGGAGGAAAAGTATGCCGATGTGGAATCTCTGGGTAAGCCTGTACCATTCATTGTGTTGTATGGTGGGGCTTTCTTTTTTACATGGAAATGATAAACGTACAGAGATGTGGGTGTTTTAAAACAAAGCAACAGTAATAGAAACAGAATCCACACAGGTGAGAACATAGGGATTTTTTTGTGCAGTCTGCGCATTGTTTTATACAACCTGTTGGAAATAATAATTTTTGTCTAAAGTGTACTCTACACTGCTGGAAAGCTTCTTTTTCCAGCTGCTAGGAGGGGAACAGGAGCACAGACACAGAAGCAAGTTCATTTCTCTGTTGGGCCTTGTTGTGTCAGGCCCGCCATCATTTTTGCATGATAATTTCAGCCCTTTCTCCTCACTCCATTACTGTTTCTGTTTTGTGTATCTGGAGGCCTATAAAAGGACGCTTGTACACTTAACCTGTGGTTAAGCCGTTAACAAGTTGGTGAGAGGCTAGCCAATGATTCTAATTACAATGTCTAAGATTTCCCAGGTGGAATAGGCAACGGTGTGTTGGAAAGCAACAGGAAAGAAACAGCAGCACAGGACCTGTGAAAACAATCCCCTGCATTGGGGACGTTACACATTAGTTTGTTCAATTAAAATGTCTTCTTATAATTATACAGAAGACATTTTAGTTATACTTCTTATAATTACACAGATCTACCCATCAAAGTCACCCAGAGGGTTTGGCAGCCTAAGTTCCCTCAGGACATAGATACAAAAGGGACTGGTAGTAATGGCGATGGTTATGATTTTTAAGTGCTTTAAAAACAGAGCTTTGAAAAATATTTTTGTTATGTGCTGCCAAGTTGGAACCAACTTATAGCAACTCTAATAAGACTTTCAAGGTAAGTGAGATATTTAAGGAGTGTTTTTTTCCAGTTCTACTCCCCCACTAAGCTTTGGCTGAGTAGGAAATCAAACCAAGGCTTCTAGAGTCCTCGTTCATCATTCTATCCGCTACACCACACTAGGTAGAACGCCAGTATTGCTTGCAGTCCTGCAAGTATCTCCCTAAAGAAACTGGGATCATAGTTTGACAGCCTTTCTGGAGGATCATAAGCCCCTAAGAAGAGCTACTCAAGGTCTGAAGGAAGGCCTCTGTGGTTGAGCATCTGCTCCCCACAGTGACCAATCAGATGTTTCAGGGAAGCCCAGAAGCAGGACATGGGTGCCATAACCATGTTCAGAGGGATCCTGCCTCTGTTCCTTCGTATAGTAGTAGCTGTTCGCTCCTATAAAAGAAGGCTCAATGGACTGAGAACTAAAGAACAACACAGCCTATTGCAGCTGGTCGGAGATTCAAACTGAGATTCTGTCTCAATTTACTTGGGAGCAAATTGTAGGTGTACCAGGTGTTTGGGTCCGGGGGTGTGCGTCTTTTTGAAAGAACATTACAAAACACTATGAACTTTGCAGAGATGTGATGTTTTAAATCAGGAACGAAACCAACCATAGTCATGCCATAAAGGCTGATCGAATTGGTTGCCGTAAAAACAAATGCCACAGAGTACCATTCATGTCAAGGTGCCAGAATCAGAGTTGATTCAAGAGACATGCAGTCCTGCAAGTATCTCCTTCGTCCAAAATGTGTCAGGGACTAAGTCTTAGGGCATTCCTGTCTCTCAAAGGCTTCTTTCTGAGGGGCAAACAGTTTCAGAGGTAAAATCTTTTAATGCCATAAAATAAAATTAAACCTAGGTATAAACACACCAGGCCTGGTGTCCTCTTTGCACCACTTAACCACCTCTACACAGAGCCAGAAAAGAGCAGACATGAGAGAACTGCCTGTGACGTCTGTGGCAAAATACCATCACGTGGAATCCTGAGGTAGATGTGACCGACGTGACTCTCCCAAGGTTGGAACAACTTGTGCAACAGCTTGTCATGGCCATGAATTTACCCAACAGGATATTAGCCATGATCAGTCCAAGGCTATGTCCTTCTATAGCGCCTCCTGCTCACGTAGAAGGAAATTCAGTTTGCTAAATCAAGGTGATAACGGCCTAACTACTGCTCCTTTCCTCCCAAATTCTCTTTCGAATCTGAGCTGTTACAGTTACAACTCCTTCCTCAAGATTTCCTCACCTGGTTGTTGTGGGTTTTTCAGGCTCTTTGGCCGTGTTCTTCAGAACACGACCAAAGAGCCCAAAAAACCCACAACAACCATCAGATCCCGGCCTTCAAGAATACATTTCCTCACCTACTGGGCTGAACAGACTAGTCTGTTGTTGTGTACATTAAGTCAACTCCAACATATGGGGGCCCTTTGAAAAGGAGTTCTCCAAATGTCCTCTCCTCAACAGACCTGCCCAGCTCTTGCAATTTCAAGTCTGTGGCTCCCTTTAGGGAGTCAATCCATCTTGTATTTGGTCCTCCTCTTTTCCTGTTGCCTTCAACTTTTCCAAACATCAGTCTGTAGGGATTATATACTCGGTGGGGAAAACATCTTAGTAGAGAAGGGTACTGTGTGCATCACCAAGAAGCTTAGAAGTTTTGTTCATACAATTGCGGGTTACACCCTTCTCTTTTTTAATTGTTTAGAAGTGGGGACAAGTACCATGATTGCAAATCACAGTTTAGGAAGTTATTCTTTAAATAACGAATAGTCAGAACCTTGTTACTTAATGCTGCAGGTGTAAATCCATCAGTGTCAATCTCACACAGGCATCATTTGCCAATCGGATTCCGGGCACTTTCTTATAATTACAGTTCTGGCTCTACCCCAGGTTGCAATTTTAATTTTTATTGGTTAGATTTATATCCAGCCTTTCTTTCAGTGAACTCATCCCAGCATGACACGGATTCCTCCTCCTTGTTTCATCATCACAATAACCCTGTGAGGTAGATCAGGGCAAAGAGAGTGAAGGGTTGGTTCAAGTTGACCCAGTGAGTGGGATGGCTCAGTGGAAGTTATAAAATGGATCTCCCCAATCCCAGTCTGCTATACTCTTTATTTTATTTTAAATACACAAGTAAAGAGCAATTCTTTAGTTTAAAAAAAAACAAATTAATGACAGTTCTGTTGGGAAAAAATGAATTAATTACTAAGAAACAACAGTTTGTAACAAGCTACCTCCAGCCTCTGGATGCTAGCCCGGACTTTACTAGAAAGTGTTCTACCCATCATAGGGAGTCCATCACAGGCATGAATGAAAGGCAGAGACCCTTTTGTTGAATGAAAGGTGAGACGCCAATCCCCATTGGCTAGTTTCTTCTAATCAGTTTGCTTGGCTTGCACTTCATTGGTGGGAAGCAGGCAGCGCCTTTTCCTGCTCACTCTTTAAACCTAGTGAAAATCAGAGCAATTGTACCTGCCCGGAGCTGAGTCACTGAGCTTACACAATGCTGTCGGTAAGTTGTCTGTAGCAGGAAGGAGTGGTCTGTGACTACTGAATGTTATTTTTCATTCTTTGGGCTTCTGTGTTAACATAATGACGGGTGTTCAGTTGGAGGGGGGGGGGGGAAGCTTGGTTTTAGTTTTAATAGAGGCATGGGATGTAGAATGGAATTTGGATAGTCCCAAAAAATATGTAGCATTTTTTAAACTTTCAAGCAGGAGGGAAAGCTATATTGTTTTCCTAAAAGTTAGCAATATTATCTTTTATTTGGTTTTACTTTTGTTTTGAGGGGGGGTGGAGGGATGATCTCCCCTCTAAGTAACTTTTTAAACATGGTGTATTTTCTGGAGTTCAGTGAAAGGGTTTTATCTAGAAATACATCCATCTCTGATAATCTAGGAATCTACTCTTTAGCAAATAAAATTACAACAATATAGGAAAGTGAATTTTCTATGTTAGGCCAGTAGTCTATGAAGCCTCAGTATTGTTGATACAATTGGAGCGAGGTGTAGTTTCTTCCATTAATCTTAGACCACCTGACTACAGGTGGGCTCCCAAAATCTTGCACCTGAGGTATATTCCCTGGAATGGAAACTAAATCAGCACTTTTGGCTTCTAAACCGGTCTGCTGTTTGTAAGGAGTTTGTCAGAGGAAAACTTGTTTTTTATCAAGAAACTGAGGGCTGGTTTACCTTTGCCTCACAAGAAGGTCAGTTCTGAATGCAATTGATTTAGAAATCGTGTTGTCACATGATATTTGGGTCAGTGAATGCGTCCTCTTGGGAAAACCTTTAATCTCTTTTTACACTGTGTTGTGTCTCAGTTAAAGGAGGACTCAGTTCATAGATTTGGAGAGTTATATATTTGGGTCAGTGAATGCGTCCTCTTGGGACAACTTTTAATCTGTTTCTAAACTGTGCTGTGTCTCAGTTAAAGGAGGACTCAGTTGATAGATTTGGAGAGTTTGACAAAGTCACCCTTCTCTGTGGTTAAACCTCATTTAACCTTAACTCAGTCCTGTTACATTTTTTATAGAGAGGCATGCTTAGGTGATTCACCCTTCTCTGTGGTTAAACCTCATTTAACCTTAACTCTGCCCTGCTACGCTTTTGATAGAGAGGCATGCTTAGGTGACTTTAATGTCTCAAGTGTAAAAAATAGGTTGACTTGTCTTGGAAATGATTGACTTTGAAGCAAACCGTGTAGAGGGGAAGGGATGTTCTTTTTCTCAAACAGCACCATGTCTTCGGCTGAACTTGTCCAAATGTGGTTAAACCTCATTTAACCTTAACTCTGCCCTGCTACGCTTTTGATAGAGAGGCATGCTTAGGTGACTTTAATGTCTCAAGTGTAAAAAATAGGTTGACTTGTCTTGGAAATGATTGACTTTGAAGCAAACCGTGTAGAGGGGAAGGGATGTTCTTTTTCTCAAACAGCACCATGTCTTCGGCTGAACTTGTCCAAAACATTCGCTTGGGAGTGTAAAGAATCGTCTATTTTTCAGACAGGCTTGCCACATGTTTGAGTAACTAGTTACACCTTCTGATTACAAGGAGCCAGACCTGCTGCTGTGTCACAAGCCAAGGCAGTCTTATCAGGGAGTTGAAGAAGGAAAAGGCCCTGTGGGTCTTAAGATTGCACAAATCTTAAGGCTTGATATCTATATACTGAGCCACTGAAGAAAATCAGACAAATTGCAAGCTTTCATGGAGGAAATTCCACTTTATCAGCTTGCGAACCCCACCCTCTCATGGATAGTGTAGAGAAAGTATAGATAAGAGTCCCAAAAATGTATGGCAGATGTTCACGGGGAATTCAGACTTAGTATGCAAATATCAGTGTGGGGGGGCAGTCTCGGGCACCATCCCTTGCAGCATGATTGGAAATTTCCATCCTCTGTTTCAGACAAAGGCATTGCTAATTACTTTATGACTGCTCCCCCCCACAACATACCAACACATTGCCTGCTTCTGAAACCCAAAGTTTCTTTTGGGTTGTGGGAGTCAAATGTCACCCCAGGGAGACTTTCACATTCTGAGAAAATGTAACTTTTTTTTTGTCCCCCATGAACTTGGAAAAGCTACTTTGGGGGACCTACAGCACCCAGAATTCTGCAATCATCATGGATTCTGGGGGTTGTAGGCTACAATAGTAACTTTCCTAGGCTCTTCTGGTTAGTGTGTCTCATCAGTTTTCTTGGCAAGCAAGGTTGGCCCTGCCATAAGGCCAGGGGTTCCCAGCCTGAGTTTCACCACTAGCTCTGCTGGCCAGGATTTCTGGGAGTTGTAGCCCAAGAACATCTGGGGACCCAAGTTTGGGAACTACTGCATTAGACAGATGCTCAGGCACCAAATAGTAAGGGGGAAAAGTTGCAGTGACACAAGGGAGAAAAGAAGTTTGTTGTTTGTCACATAATCTGTCTTATGTATATATATATATATATTGATGCCTTTGAATTGTGGTGCTGGAGGAGACTCTTGAGAATCCCCTGGACTGCAAGGAGAACAAACCTATCCATCTACCATTTAGCTAAATTTATAAGAGAGTCCTGGAAGCAATATAACATTTATCACATTCCAGACACTCTCTAGAGCAAATAGCAAGCGAGGAGGAATATATATACACATATATACATACATATATACATATACATATACATATACATATATACATATACACATATACACACATATATATACATATACATATACATACATACATATATACCTATATATATGTGTGTGTGTATGTATATGTATATGTATATGTATGTATGTATGTATGTACTGTATATGTATCTATGTATATATGTATGTATATATGTATATGTATCTATGTATATATGTATGTATACACGTATATGTATATGTGTGTGTGTATATATATGTATATGTATATGTATATGTATATATATACACACGTATACGTATATGTATGTGTATATATATGTATATGTATATATATCCATCCCGCCCGCCCATCTAGTAATTCGACTACTCTGTCTTAAAGTGGCCTACTGCCCTCACGTGCAGGGGATGATGATGTTATGCTGAAGTTGCCAGTTTTGCAGTCAGATTTAACTCCCAGTCCAGTCAAGAGGAATGAAAGGAGGCAGCAAAAGGGCCCTGTGGGCATGCTGCTTAGGACCACCTTGGCCAACTAACGTTCTGTGCTATGATTCAGGATGCTGTCATAGTGGCACGCTAGCAAATATCTGACTCAGACTTGAGGAGGTTTTGGGAAGAACGGTTCCAAAGACCAAAGTGATAGTGGCATTCCTGAAAGATTGTCTCCTTGGTGTTACAAAACCGACCTATCCCCTGCAAGGGGAAACTCAAACAAGAAGAATTATTCTTCCTTTACTCATTAACGACTCAGCGATAACCTGCAACTGACATAATGCAAAATAAATTCCGGGTAGGAGCTAGAATCTCATGTAGGCTCTACAGATTCTCCTACAAATTCATGCTGGCTGAAATCCAGCAGTTAAGCCACAACTAGATTTGGGATATAGTGAGTCATCATCATCATCATCTTAGTACAGCAGAGCTGGAAAGAGCCCGATGGTCATCAAGTCCAGCCCTTGTCAAGAAGGATGTATGTAGAGAGGGAAAAGCAACTTTAGCATGACATCATGCTAAAGTTGTCAAAATAACAACTAAGAATTCTGAAAGGTGCAAGCCAGGGAAGAGAGGATATTGTCTGGGTATGTCCAGATCACATCACCGTTGATGTGATCTGGACATTCCCAGTTACCATCCCACAGGACTGAGATGTGTGACCACACAGCACACAAAAGTGACAAAACAGAAACAGTGCTGCCTTCCCATGGTCCTCCCTTCTTCTTTTAAAAATCTCACCCTCTTGCATACAGACAAAAATGTATCGTGCCTTGAAGCCAAAAGACTGGGTCGATTCCTGATTATAATAATGCCATGGACATTGAAACCCAACAGCGAGGAACTCAGCCTCAACAGTGGGACTACGTCCAGTGTGACTGCATCCTTATATTAGGTATATAAACCTGTGGCAAAATAGTTGACTCTCTAAAACAGAACAAACATCCCACAGAATGTTGCATTAAAATCAACTCTTTGTCTTATAGTCCCACGATAGATTAGATTTTGTTTTGTTTCGTTCTTGTTTATACAAAAGGAACAGTCTTTCACATGGAGTACCCGCTGCTAGCCAAGCTTGGGAACATTTAACCCTGAACTACGACGCCCAGAATCCCCAGGCAGCATGGCCACTAACCGATGATATAAAAAAGCACAGTTGTTGTCCAAAAAGGAAGTAACTTAGCTCTGCTGACAGTCTTTCACATGGAGTACCCGCTGCTAGCCAAGCTTGGGAACATTTAACCCTGAACTACGACTCCCAGAATCGCCAGGCAGCATGGCCACAGTTGTTGTCCAAAAAGGAAGTAACTTTCCCAAGCTCTGCTGGAGATCACATGTGTTCTAACATTTGTGTTTGCTTTCCTTTCAGCAAATGACATTTCACCATTTATCCGTCAAGCCTGGTGAATGCATCAAAGTGAAAGGGAAAGTGGCACCAGATGCCAAGAGGTTTGTACGAAGGTTATAACTGGGCTTGTCTGTGCCTTGGCAGGGCTTTGCAATCAGCATAATTCCCCTGGTGTGTGAATTGCTAAATTAGCCTTTCAGTTCTGTACAATGTGATTAACTGTATGGAGTTCCTTGGAGTGGAGGCAAAGGGAGGAACCTTACTTTCACATGCGATTATTCATTCATTCATTCATTCATTCATTCATTCATTCATTCATTCATTCATTCATTCATTCATTCATTTTACCTTGCCCACAACAATGAAAGAGAACCCCATGAACTCAGCCACATTCTGCTGTGCCAGGATCTCACAGGATAAAGTGACAAAGGAAGCAACAGGGCTGAGCTCAGTTCCATGGGAACTGCAAGGCATTACAAGTCTAGTAGTCTCCCTGCCTGCTATGCTTTCTACTTATTCTGCTCTCGGGATACTATCAGCCCCATGATGCTGTGGAGTTCCCAGAGAGCTTAGCTCTGCCTAGCCATTTCCTCTGTCTGTCTTGTGTCCCAGAAAAACCATTGGTATTTTTTTAGCTGAAAGTGATTATAGACCCTGAAAGCACTAGACTTTTTGGCTAACATAAGTTTGGGTGGCTGCAAGTCGAAAAGTCTGTAGGTCGAATCTCCACTGACCTACAATGCATTGAAAACCAATTAATCCCATAACTGGCAGTTTTTATTCTATTTTTGTTCCATTTTTGTTTTTTTCTGGTCTGTAAGTCGATTCTCCGGCTGCAAGTCGAATCTAAATTTTGCAGCCAGAGAAGTCTGTAAATCGAGCCGTCTGTAAGTCGAGGGTCCACTGTATAGACCCTGAAAGCACTAGGCTTTTTGGCTAAACCTCCATAAGTTTGGTTGGGAGAATTCCTGCAGACCTCTGGGGGTTGTAGTTCACGAATTCCAGAAATCCCACGGCTACTTATTAACTGGTGACATTACCTCCTCCTCTGTTCCTGCCTCTCCCAAAATTACTGCAATCAGGGCAACTGTGTCGCTTGTTCTGCTTTAGTAACCAGGCAGGGAGTTCATGTATACTAATATAGGGAAGATCTAGAGTAGTGGTTCCCAACTTGGGATCTCCAGATGTTGTTGGACTACGACTCCCAGAAGTTTTGGGCAGCACAGCTACTAATAGTGAAGATTTAAGGGAAGAACTAGAGTAGTGGTTCCCAACTTGGGATCTCCAGATGTTGTTGGACTACGACTCCCAGAAGTTTTGGGCAGCACAGCTACTAATAGTGAATATTTCTGGGAGTTTTAGTCCAAGAGCGTCTGGGAACCCAAGGTTGGGAACCACCACTCTAGTCCAGAATATGGAAAAACTGCATTTTGGAACAACAACTCCAAGAGCCTGGATTCTTACAAACACATTATGGTGGTGTCTGATACAGTGGGGTCTCTACTTAAGAACGTCCCTACTTAAGAACAATCCAACTTAAGAACAGCTCCATTTGCTAAATTTTGCTTCTACTTGAGAACAGAAATCCAAGATAAGAACAGGGAAAAAAACCTTTCCTGCTCTTTTTTTAACCTTAGGTCATCTTAGGTTAAAAAAAATTTCTCCCCCTAGTGGTAGAGTACGTATTAACCAGCTTTGCATTAGTTCCTATGGGAACTAATGCTTCGATGTACGAACGCACCTCTACATAACAAAAAAACAGCCAGAACGGATTAATTGGTTTTCAGTCCATTCCTATGGGAAATTTTGCTTCAACTTAAGAACGTTTCAACTTAAGAACACCATTCCAAAACAGATTAAGTTCTTAAGTAGAGGTTCCACTGTAGTTTCTATGGACGGAAAAGAGCAGATACGGATTAAATGGTTTTCAATGCATTCCTATGGGAAATGCAGATTCAACATAAGAATTTTTCAACTTGAGAACCACCTTCCAATACGGATTAAGTTCTTAAGTAGAGACCCCACTGTACATGTATTTGTCCTTCTGTCCAATGTGTCCCTTCTTTTGTTAGCTTTGCTCTCAACTTGGGCCAGGATGGGTCAGATCTGATCCTTCACTTCAACCCTCGCTTTGATAGTCTCGGAGATGCCAGGACCATTGTGTGCAACTCCAGGGAAGGTGGAGAGTGGGGTTCGGAGCTTCGCGAGCCAGAGTTTCCTTTTCAAGAAGGAGAAGACACCAAGGTGAGGAGCAGAGGCTTGAGCACAGAAGGACACGCTATAATCTTTTTCAGGATTTGGGGAGAGGGCTCTTCAGCAAGGAATCCTTATCATCCTCTGTGAATATGAAACATTTGTTGTTGTTTGCCATCATTGTTTTTGACTTATAGTGACCCTGTGGCCTAATAACCTCCAGTGGACCTATCATCAGTCTTGCTCAGGTCTTGCAAACTAGTGGCCATTTTTTAAAAATTGATCATCTGTTCCATTTTAGACCTTCGTCTTTTCCTTCTGCTTCCACTTTTCCTAGCATTATTGTCTTCTCCAGTGATTCTTGCTTTTTAGTTATATCTCCCAAGCATGACAGCTTCAGTACAGCCATTTTTAGTTTATAGTAAGTGCTCAGGCTTGATTGGAGCTAGAATCCATCTGTTTACATTTCTGGCAGTCCATTGTATCTAAAGCTCTAATCCAGCACCACATTTCACATCAATCTGTTTTTTTCCCCAATTAGCTTTCTTAACTGTCCAGTTTTCACACCTGTACACAGTAACTGGGAATACTCAATTACTTCAGCTTAGCTTCCAATGACACAGGCCTAGGCTCAAGAATGTTTTTGAAGTTTTTTCATAGCTGCCCTTAATCTTCTTCTGAGGTGTTGACTGCCATCTGCCTTTTGATTGGTGCTTGAACCGGTATATGGAAAATAATGAAGAATTTACTCTATTAACTCTTGCTAGTGCTGGGCAGAAGAAGGCAATGGTAAACTAGTTCCGAATACCTTATATCTTAGAAATTCTATGACGAGCCAATCCAAACATGGACAAATAAGGCATGAAAACTAGAGTTGGCGATATGTGGGTACATCTGAGGCAAAACTGCATGTAGGAAGAAGCATAAGGGGTGATTAAGGTTCCTCTCTCCTTTTAAATTAAATCAAATCAATCAACTAAATTAATAACAAAATTTAATTGCCAGAATTCTGCTGCTGGAACACTTAATGTTTATCCTCATGGTCACAGATCTGTGGGTTAACAATTCAGAACAGCAGTGTTTCTAGTTGAGCAAAGGGTTAGTGGATTCCTCCTTGTGCCACAGAAGAGAACAGAGGAACCATACATGGAATAGATTGTGCATGAAACTGATTCTTTCTGAGCAATGGGATTCTTGTGAGTTACAGTATTCTCTGGGCGGTGGGATTAACTGAACTGTAGCCCTTCGGCAAACATCATGAAACTCCTTGGTCTCCCCGTGCCAGATCTGTGTCTACTTTGATGTGGATCAAGTGACAGTGAAGATAAATGGAGACCACGAGATCAAATTCCCCAACCGGCTAGGGCGGGACTCTGCAGAATATTTCTCGGTGGAAGGAGACTTCACCATTAAATCTGTCAAGTTTGACTGAAACGGCAGTTGTATTCTTCCTCTCTTTTTTGGTATATCTGTCCTACAAGGAAAAACTGAATAAATGAAAAACTGTTACTTGACCACTGTTCCTGTCCTGTTTCCAGTCTCTACAGATTCTGTTTGAAATATACAGGTCATGTTGGATGACTATTGGTCAGATAGATCAGTGGTTCTTAACCTTTGTTACTCAGGTGTTTTTGAACTGCAACTCCCAGAAACCCCAGCCAGCAGAGCTGATGGTGAAGGCTTCTGGGAGTTGCATTCCAAAAACCTCTGAGTAACAAAGGTTAAGAACCAGTGAGATAAATGGTATAGAAATTAATTTAATTTTAATTAATTATTTCATTAAGATTCTCTGTTCTCCCCTTCCCTGAATTTGAACAAACGCCTTGTCTGGTGAAACTGATGTCACACGGAACCAGCCAAAATTTGAGCAAAGTGTGACAAAGTTATTCAAACACAAGCACTGAATTAAAAAGCATTTTAAATATAACAAAAGAAAAAAAGAGCCCCAAAAAACTTTCTGTTCTCTCTGGAAATATAGAACAAATGTAGCTGGAAATTGGGGGAGGAGGACTATGGATATCATCCCAGCTTTATTTTGATCAGAGGCTCCTGGGTTTCTTTGTTTGTTCTTTTTTGTTTTGTCCAGCTATAATAGCACAGACTTCCACTTGTGCATAGGTTTCTCCTTTCACGTGTCTATACTCAAAAGCTTACAGATTTGGGGTGGAGAAAATAGGACTATGAGAGAAGTGTCCTTCCCCCTCCCCCATTCTTCCATGTAGGATGCTCCTGTGATGGGTTTTAACTCACTGAACATAACAGCTGAACAAGCTTCAAAAGGCCAGCCTTATTTTATCCTACCATCCTATTGCTGGCCAGCAGATGAATCCTATTTTTTTCTGTGTATAAGACCCCCCCTTTCTAACCCAGAGTTTCTTTCTTCTCAAGAAAGTGGAGGGAGAAGGCAGGAATCAAAGCACTTTGATTCCAGCTTCCTCCTTCACTTTCTTACAAAGAAAGTGCTTTCCCACTCCACTTTCTTTGGAAGAAAGTGGAGGGGGGAAAGCAGGAATCATTCATCAAAGCAATTCCTGCTTCCCCTTCCACTTTCATTCAAAGAAAGTAGAGGGGGGAATTCCTGCTTTCCCCCTCCACTTTCATTCAAAGAAAGTAGAGGGGAAAAAGCACTTTCCTTGCTAGAAAGTGAAGGGGGAAAGCAGGAATCAAAGTGCTTTGATCCCTCCTCCCCCCCTTATTTCAGTGTATAAGATGACCCTAAATTTTTAATCTAAATATTTTAGATAAAAGTATATATGGAAAATACGGTATACTTAAAAGACAATAGTTGATCACATGCTTCTCACGTCTCTAGGAAGATAGGTGTCCTGGCAGCCAGGTTATTAGATTTAATTTCCATTTGGATGAGAAACCACTGAAGACTTCAGGGAACTTTGTCATAGGTTGTGGCTTTATTCACAAATCGACATACAGGGTTAAACACAAAGTGCAGGCCCTTCTACGAGAAAGCCAGCCTGCTATTTTATGATGGCTTCCCACAGGTGGAGAATCGGAAGCCCATGGCATTTTATATGAAGACTTAATCTGTGCACTCCTTCTTTTCTTCAAAGGTCTGCTTCCAAATTCAGCATTGCAGGTTCCTCTTTTCTTTCACTCTTCCCCACTTCTGATTCAGCCAGGGTTCACTTTGTGTTTCTCACTGATCAGCTGTACTTTTGTAAACATTATGCATCCAAAGCACTGTGGTGAAGGGGAAGTTTTAAATCCCGATGATTTTATTTTCATTCACAGTGATTGCTTTCTATCACAATTCTTGCCTCTAGGTGGACAGTTCTACTATTTAAAAGCGGAAGTCCCGGTTGGAAAGCTCGGAGGCTGTGCTTGTTGTTTTATCCTCACAGAGCTAAAGGCCAGGCTTTTGCCGTCTCGTAACCCCCAGATCTGCTTGAATACAACTCCCATTATCCCCAGGCAGCATGGCTGACTGGCTGAGGTTGATAAGAGTTGTAATCCAGTAGACCTGAGAGGCACAAAATGGGGGACACTGATTACATGCAGAGGGTCATGGTGGAGGAAAAGGGGATGATGGAGGTGGATGTGTTGCCCTCCAGATTCAACAATTCAGCCTTGTGCCCCAGTACACCCAGAAAAAGGGGCAGATTTTCTCTCCAGAAAAAGAGGTGGATGAGAAAGTGGCCAGCAAGTCCTTTGTATCTGCATCAAAAAATGCCACATGAGCTTTGTCATAGTCCAGGCATACCTGGATCTTCTTGGGTTCCTGCCTCAAGCTTAGAAGGGTCCGTTCAGGTGAAGTAAACATTGTGAGGCGATAGGGGGCCAATGGGGTCCTCGGTGAGTCAAGGAGATCTTTCCCCAGTGCCCAGATGCCTCCGTCTGGATTCAGGTTGACCTTTCCTTTCCTTGGGACAGACTCTTTAGCCACCCCCACTGCCCACATCCCCCACTTTGCCGCCCTTTTCTCTTCCACCTCCCATTTTTCTTCATTGGGACTTAGCCCCATCCTTTTCTTCCTCCTGACTGACTCTGGCCTGGCCTTCGCAGCCAAAGGCCCTTCCATCTCCTCCACACCCACCAGCCACCAGTGCCTTCCAGAGGTGAAGCTCTCCTGGCCCAGCAAAAAGGGCTCCCAGTCAAATCTCTCAGGGTGGTCGGGCCGTTCTTGCTTTCTGCTCTCCCACCTCACACTCTTGAGGTCATTAGACAGCCGGAGGTTGGGATGGGCTGTTTTTGGATCCAGAGTCACAATCACTGCACAACAGAGAGAGAGAGAGAGAGA